AAGTAGGTGAAACTCAACACCCCGGGGCTGCGGGCAGCTAAGAATAACATCCCGCTGGCTGCTCCGGCCCTGCAATCTGCTCTCTCAGCCTTCCTCCTGCCAGCTGCCCGCTGCCCCCCCCGGCCGGTTCGGCCTCCCAGCACCCGCCTCGCCGGGGAGGGCAGGGAGCCCGGGCACCCAGCACCGAGCAGCCCTCGGGGGAAGCCGGGCAGCAGCTGAAGGGCAGGACGCCCAGCAAGGGGTGGGAGACGGCTGGGCACCGCGGCAGAAGGGGTCCCGGCTGGCCCTGGAGCACAGAGACTGTGGGGCAGAGCAGCACCCACCACGCAGCGCTTGGCTGCCGAGAAAGGGGGAGGTAGCGGAGGACACACCACAACGCCAGGCAGGCAGCAGCAGGCAAGGCTCTGCCAGGGACGTCACGGCTCGTCACGACGAGGTCCTGCAGTCACCAAATGAGCCCCCAGCCCTCCCCGGCACGGCGAGACGAGAGCTCGGCTTCAGCACACCCCCAATCCGAGGGGGTGCGGGGCGGACGCTGCCCCCACACTTAGCATCAAGCAGGGCTGAACATCTGGAGATGGGGCCAGAGACGGGGAGAAGACCCCTTCCTCCTCCTCCCCAAAGCACCGGGGCTATTCCAGAAATGGGGGGGACACGCTGCGTGCCGGTGTCCTCAGCAAACCCCCGCTGAACGGGGGGCGGCACCGGGCACGGCCACACCGGCCCCCTCCTGCTCCTGTCCAGCAACGGGACCCGCAGAGGAGAGCATCACCCGAAACACGCCTCAATGACTCCGAGACCGCCAGAGACCGGGGACAAGGCTCTGGTCCCCGAACAGGGGCTGCAGGAGGAGCAGGACGGGGACGGGAGGGTTTCGGAGGTAACCTGTCCCCAGCTCGAGCCACGGCTGCTGCCCCAACGATGCCAGTGAAGTGACCGACGATCAAAGGAACCTTTTCCATCCTGTGATTTCAGCACGGACTCCCCTTTCTCTGTAAAAGCTCTTTCAGAAGTTTAAAAATAAAATTCTCTTCCGCAGCGATTTCTATTCTTTCTCATTAAAGCAGCAAAAAAGAAAAGGGACAAGGAACTTGGCGGTGAGGAGCCCTTGCCCTTGCCAAGGCGACATTGTTCCTCATCGCACGCTCCCCGGTGCCTTTTTTCCTGCCTTTGTTTAAAACGTCCAAGCGACGGGAGCAACCCTCCCGGCGGCTCACCCGCCATCCCCGCCGGCCTCCCAGGTAGGACGGGCATCGCCCGCACCGGCTCTGAACCCCGGCAGCGACCGAGCCTTCTTCCCGGCACACGCTCCTCCGCAAATCGCCTCCGCTTCCTAATTCCCTTCCCGGTTTCTGAGCAATTGCACCGGCCGAAACTCCTGGGTTTTGGACTTTTTTTTCTTCTAGATGATTTTTAAGCGCGAATCTCTCCTCTGTAATGGCAGCCTCCAGGAGCTGGACTTAAAACCGGGAGAAATAGCAGACGCTGCGAAGGCTGGGGTCCCCTTTTCCTTCCAGTGACGGAAAGCTGCTCGGCGGGTTTTCCTTGGGATTTAAGGACGGAAGCCAAATTGCACGTGGCTTTTCCTGGTTTGGTCGCTGTAACCCGAATATCGTCACCGGATCCGTGTAAAAGCTCAGGACACACCAACCCCCAGCGGAGGGGTGCCTGGCCCCCCGGGAGAGGGTCCCTCTCCCAGCTCCCACCCCTGCGAGCAGCACCCGCGGGTGCGTGGGGGCCAAACCTGCTTCCCTCCACCTTCGAGCGTGGTCTTTGCCGGGCCAGACCCGCGTGTGCCGGCCCTCAGCCGGGCCTTTCATGTCCTAACGGCGTCTTTAACTTAAGCCGAAAGCGGTTGCGCTGCAACAGCCTGGTGCAAAACCCTGGGGCCACGTGGGGCGGCCCCGCACCAGAAACCCCCTGTCCAGGGACCGGGGCGAGACGGGGCCGGATCCCACCACCCTGCGAGCAAGCCGGGCCGGAGGACGAGTTTCGTGCGGGGAGTTGCACAAGGAAAGGCTTCAGGAAGCCCTAAGCGTCGGGATGGAGGAACCCACCCAAGGGACGGAGGGACCCGGCCCAGGGACGGAGGGACCTGGCCCAGGGATGGAGGGACCCATCCAAGGGATGGAGGAACCCACCCAAGGGACGGAGGGACCCGCTCAAGGGACGGAGGGACCCACCCAAGGGACGGAGGGACCCGTCCAAGGGACGGAGGGACCCACCCAAGGGATGGAGGGACCCGTCCAAGGGACGGAGGGACCTGCCTGCCACCCCGCTCCAGGGGTGCCAAGACCCTGCCCGGCAGCCCCGCCGTGCTGTGCCTGTGCCTGTGCCGTGCCCCTCCTGCAAACTCATCGAACATCGCGCCCGCTTTTCCCCGGCCTCGCACCAAGCTCTGCCGCCGCCCTGCCCTGGCCAGAGCCACCCCGGAGCGGGACGGAGCGTCCCCGGGCGAGCTCAACACACACACGCGCTCTCTCCCAGCTCTGTTAAGGACTCCGATTCCTAACGACGAAAAGGACAAACGTTTCCCTCTTCAAACCCAATTATCTCGCTGCTATTTATACGGAGCGAGGGCCGCAGGAACCGCGTGGTCAGCCTAACCGTCGGCTCGCTCCGCGGTGGAAGGGGCTCGGTTGTACAACCCGGTTACTCGTCTCCCGCCCGGCCGGCGTTACCCGGGGCGGCTCCTTCCTCCCCTGCTCACCC